GGGGGGGGAGGGAGAAGCCGGGAGGGGAGCCTGCGCGGTTAGGCGAGGCTGTAAGAAGGGCATGGGTAAAGTAGGGGGTGGGATTTCTATCTGTTCCACACGGCCTTCCCCCCGCGGGTCTGCACGCATCTTTCCACCCACCAGCATTTATTATGTGCCTGCTGTGTGCCAGCAGACCCCACTCAAAAAGGGGAGCAAGGAGAGCCATTCCCCAGCAGAGAAGGGGCCAGTGGGGACCCCCTTTGGACCTCTGTGCAAGCCAGATCACCCTTGGAGAGCTGGTCCCACCGTAGAATCACCAGATCAGCAAAGGGGGAAAAGGTTAATTGTTGGAGGGGCTGGCAGAAGACAGGCACAACTGATGCGTTGTTAGTGGAGCTGTGAAGGGGCACAGTCAGATGACAAGAAATGATGGAGGTAGCTTGGTGGTATGGTGGACAGAGCCCTGGGCCTGGAGTCAGGAAGACCTGAGTTCAAATCCAGCCTCTGACATTTCCTAGCTGAGTGACCCAGGGCAAGTGATTTTACCCTGTTTGCCTCAGTTTCTTTATCTGTAAAATGAGCTGGAGAAGGCAATGGCAAACTACTCCAGTGTCTTTGCCAAGAAAACCCCAAATGGAGTCAGACATGACCAACAGCACTGCTTGCCAGGGGCAAAGATAGTCCCTGAGGAGATAAAGGCCAAAAGGAAACATCCCTGCCTTCAGGAAGCTTATATTCCACTGGTGGGAGATGTTGTGTAAGCCTCACCACTAGGGGGTGGGGGTGGGACTGATGCCTAGGGCTTCTTGAAGGAGACAGGGATTGTCCTTCCGGGGTGGCTGGCTCGCCTGGGGGGCTGCGGAGGAAATGAAGGATGTATTAGCCAGGGAAGGCTGGTGAGCTGGAGACTGGCCGGGAAGAGCCTCTGGCTCGGCTACTCAGGTTTGGGCTTCGGGAAGATGAGCTCAGCAGCTGTGAAGGCTTGCCCTCTATGCCTGGGAGATCCATCCATCATCAAGCATTTATGAAGCACCTCCTGTATGCTCGGCACTGAGCTAAATGCTAGCAGACCAACAAAAGCCCAGATGGGGGATGGCGCCTCACGGTGCACCCAGTGCACACTTTGGCACCGCCTACCTCTCCCAGCTAACCAGGCAGCCCAGTGAAGGCATAGGCCCAGAGCTCTGTACTAAGCACTAGGCCAGAGGCTGTACCCTCCCTTTCCAGGGGAGAAGACTGAGGTGAATTCTTATTCGCTGGCCACAGATGTGTGTCAGGGCTAGAATTGTATTCAAGGCTTGGGGCCCACTGCACCTGCACCTGCGCCCCCCACCCCCCATTGAGAAAAGGCAATTCCCCCCCCCCCCAAGTCTGACCCTTCATTGCTGCAAGAGTCAGAAGCTTGTGAGAGGGACAGAGACTCTTCCTGGACAAATTAGTCCCCCTCTTGGAGTCTCAGTTTCCTTCTCTATGAAATTGGGGGGACAATCCCTGTCTTTTGTCCTCTTGGGGCTGTTCTGTAGAGCGGCTGAGACGAAGGGCAGGAAGCGTTTGGGGACCGGACAGGAGAGTCTCAAACATGTATGGAGGCCCTACTATGTGCTGTGCACTGGGGAGGAGCCTGGGGGGAGGGGAGGGATGTGAAGAGTTGGAATCCAGCTGAGGTCAGAAGGCTCCCCTGTGGAGGCTTCTCCAAAGCAGGTCCAGAGAAGGGTGACTGGGGGCGGGGTCTGGGAACCTCCCGAGGGTCCTGGAGGCCCCTTCTGGGCTCAGAATGATTTTTATAACAATACCGAGAGGTTTTCATTTCTAGCATGATCAGCAGGAAGAGCTCTGACCCACAGAAGCAAAAGCTCTTCGTGGAGGTTGGAGGGTGGGGGGGGTCCAGCGTAAAGGGCTTCTAAGATCCCCAGGTCTGAGAACAACTGAGCTAGAATCCTGAGTACAAGCTAAGTCATCGTCAGAGGGAGAAACGCCAGTCTTCCACCAGGGTTCAGAAAGTCAATTTTAGAAGCACAAGATGGGAGTGGCGCGGGGCTGGAGGCCTTGGGGCACGGAGGGGGACAAGACCGGAATGGGGGGGGGGCTGGAGGCCTTGGGGTGTGGGGGAATGCGTGGAGGGCCTCCACCTGGCCCCTCTGGCCTTTCTCCTGGCTTCACTCCTGGGATCCCCCGCAGCCCAGATGGCGTCGGATCAGGGCAGGACACTCAGGTCTCACAGCCCACCACGCCACCAGCGTTCTGGGTCAGCCTCGAGGGAGGTGGGGGGAGTGCTGACCGCCAGGCCTCAGCTGAGGTCCTTCTCTGGGAGCCTCCACTAAATGCCTTCGAGGCATCCTCAGGGGCCACAGATGGACCTCCCCCTTAGTGCATTGCCAGTGGGCACAAAGGAAGGGGCAAGATGGAAGATAGCTGCCCAAGACTGAGGTGGGCCTTGAACTCCAGGCTAAATGCAGGCAAGGGAATCTGGGGGGAGAAAAGGGAGCTGATCTGTAGGTCTCAAGTGTCTGACTTATCTCTGTAATCGAAACAGAACGGGGTGGAGAAGTGGAGGCTGGAAAGGACTCTGGGAGAGGAAGGACAGAAAAGAGAATGGGTATGAAGATTGGAGAAGAAGAGCGGGAAGGGAAGGCCTGGAGGCAGGACCACAGTGGAAGATGGGTGCAGAGGTTGGAGATGGGGAACAGGGAGGGAGGGAAGGAAGCCAGGTACAGGCAAGAGGAAGCGGAGGTGCCGGAAGCTAGCGGGAGTCAGACCTTACCCGCTGAAGTTTTGTAGTGCTCTGGCGCCTCAGCGCGACCGCCGGGGGTACTACATCGGGTCTCTGGGAGCCCGCAGCTCAGTAGGGGGTGGGCGGCGCGCGCACTGGGGGGCGGGGCCCGACGTGCGTGCGCGGCGCCGGCGGCTACGTGCCCAGCGACTCCGTCTTCATGGCCCGGCGTGGCCGTCAGGCGAGGTCTGTACCATTGCGCTAGCCTAGGGGGAGCCTGGAGCTCTGTCGCCTTCCCCGCCTCAGTCTGGCTAGGGCCTACGGGCCGCCTCTCCCTCTATCTCTCCGTTCCCCGTCTTTCTGGGCTGCGCGGTTTGGTCACGCAAGGGGGGGGGCGGGCTCACTGTGGAGGCGACCCTCCCCCATCTCCGGAGAAGTGGTTCTGCCCAGAAGGAAGACGTGCAGAAATGAACGCGCCGCGCGGCCTTCGGACGGGGCACAGGGGCCTACCACCCGCGCAGGGTCGGGAGGCCACGCCTCACAGTGCGTCCATTGGCTACATCTGCAGAGGCGCAGGCCCAGGCTGGCCTCTTATTGGCTGAGAGGCGAGCGGGTAATTTGCATAGGAGGCGTGGCCCGCGGGGCGGGGCGGAAGGTTGAGTACGCGGGGCGGCGGCGGCGGCGGCGGCAGCGGAGGGGGAGGAGGGGGAGGAGGAGGAGGAGGGTCGCGGGCCTGGCCGGGCCGGGCCGGGCCGGGCCGGGCCGGGCCGGGCCGGGGGGATCTGGGGGCCTTGGGCCGGGGAGGCGGAGGCCCCAGGCTGGCCCAGCCCAGGCGGCTCAGGTCAGGCCTCGGGAGGCTGCGCGCGGCGCCCCAGGAGCCGAGCCCTCCAGAGCAGAGCTGGGTTCCAGCGCTCCGGGCTCCGAGGATCTACGCTCCGGGCAGCCGGGTTCGGGACTCCAGGCTCCGAACTCCAGCGCTTGGGCTCTCGTCTCTTGCGATCCGCGAGGCTCCAGGCTGGGCTCCAGTTCTGGTGCTCGCGCTGTAGTCTCCTGCGCTCCGCGGTGGCAGCGCTTGGGCTCCGGCCCCTCTGGGTTCGGGGCTCTAGTCCCCTGCGCTCCGCGGTG